AGAGTGACTAAGAGATTAAACATTTTTAGTCTATTTATAAAGCGCGTGCATTAGGAACTCTATTAGTGAAGACAGTGAATATTTCTCTAACACTCCTGAAGCCACAGCCTGTTTGCTGCCAGCGATTCTGCTTTCATGTTTCGGCGCTGTGGCCTGAGGGGGTCTTAGAAAGCCTGGATATGTGGAGCTGCCAAATGAGCGATAGAGATGGCTGTCTACACATACACACGTGTACAAGTGGCTCAGTGTCTCCCACTGCTGGACTGACACACACAGAGCGCACGCAGCAATACTTTGCACCTAAGCAGCTCAAGCACAGCGTTTAGCAGTCAAACCCATGAGCAACCATTTACACAGGGACTTGAATGACAAACGCTCCATGTAAATGCATTAAAAAACAGGGGGAATCTTAGATGTGGTGAAGTTTTCTGGAAGCAGATGTTTAACATTTTGGGAAATAGTCTCCAATGTCAGAGAGAAACCTGGAACTCTAGGTTTTCTGCCATGGAGGACTTTGCAGTTTCTTAGTAACACAAAAAGCTATGTTTTTTTTTTTTTAAAAAACTAAAAAAGAGAAGCTGGTAAGGGAATGGTTGTTTATAGCTGTTGTTTGTAAATGACAACAGGAAAGTTTCGCAGACGTTCCACAATATTAAAAGTAAATATTAACAAAGAAAAGGTTAATTGCTGTGGTATAAGAGTAATTAAACACTTTGGATCATGCTGTAATTGGAAAATACCACTTTGGGGTGGTAACAGCTCTCCACCACCCCATTGTTAATTACCTTCTTATAACAGCATGACCCATCATTCTTTATGACCCGTCACTGCATATCATGTTTACTGACCCTTGAGCATTAAATCACAATCTCCATATTAATTTTGATATAGTTTAACTGTCTACTTGGTTGCATACTGCAGTAGCAGACTAAGTATCTTTATCAAATATACCTACATATATTGCACGTATGTAGCCTATACCTGTATGTACTGTATAGCCACCTACTTAATGTAAGGAGCATGAAGAAGTAAAAATGTATATCTTGTAGTACTTTACATTTAAAATTATAACATGCAATACACACACACACATCATACATACATACACGCACATATATGTATATGTATATATATATATATATATATATATAT